CCCGGTGGCAGCGGCCGGTAGAAGCGGAGCGGGCCTAAAAAAAAAAGGGCAAAAGCTAATGTAATATAACTTAAGGATGGTAGCGTCACGTCAATTTTTTTTATTAACATTGGAGACACAAAATTTCAACCTTTACGTTGAGAGTGCATTCGGGCAACAGACATTAAAATATGAAATTGCCGATTAGCACTGAAAAATTGAAACTCGTTTTTTTCTAACATGTAATATATTTATTAAATCAAAATATTTACCCTCATTATCTATACATTGCTGCCATATAAACGTAGGTTCATTTATGCCTTCACGATAGAACTCTGGGGAGCTAGATTCGACAGACTGTGTGAAGCATTTCGATCCAATATTCCTTCATTTCTGTTCTGACTCAACAATGCAAAACAAGTTTCAACACGCATTTCCTTCTGCAGTTCAGTCAAATCATGAGGCACCCACTTTTCATATTTTTTTAGCTTATTGATTTGATGCGAATGAGTAAATATTGTAGGTAGTATAACATTAAACCATTCCGCTAATGCCTGGGTAGTTTGGTTCGGATCGGCTTCCACCATCCCTTTAATTCAACGTTATTCACCTGTGTCTTTTACATGGTTCGTTCTTCAAGTCGAAGTTTCCATTACTAAAGCGTTTGAACCAAAAACGCACAATGCGTTCATTAGCAGTTTCCTCTCCAAACGCAGCGTGGACATTGCGAGCCGGGTTCGATCCCCACATTGGACAACACTTATATCCACAAATAGTTGTTCTGATTCTGTCTGTTCTTTGTGTCCGTTTCATGTATATTTCTAAAGTCCCCTGCGATACAGCATATATTCTTAGTATGGGAGTTGTCTCTTCAAAAAGATATATATATTAATTTGCGAAACATTAAAGTGACATAAACTACCCACCTTAATTTATGTTGGAATTACTAGAGATAGCCCAATCTTCAAAGTTGTACTATGGTATAAGTGTATAACTCAGTTAAATGTTGTTTTATTAAACTCATTCTATTTGATCTTTCTCTAAGAAGAAAGATTTTTTTCAATGTAGCACAAAATACAATTTTAACACTAAAAATACGTCTTTTCAAAATCTTAGGTGGCGTTAGGAGGGTTTTGTTGCGTCTTGCGCAGGCCACTGAAAGTTAAAAAACATGCATTATTCAAAAATATGATTAATATATCACTTCGTCAATTATCAGCTAATTATCACGACCCCGTCTTTTCCTTTCCTCCAAGATTTTCATGTTAGCTTCGTAACGAACCCATCTTACAGAAAGCGTTTGTCAGAAGTGCCACTTGGCTCAGTTTTATGTAACGGTTTGGCAAACGACGTTTACGTTCGTTTGTCAGAATAGGAAGTTAGTACCTTCACTTGTTTACAGTTTCAAAGTTCTATACGCTTTGTCACTTGATGTGTATTTAGCTTAAGACAATCGTATAGTTATCATTTTTTCCATACCACTATCACACATCCCACACTATCGTTTTAGGAAATAAAAGCCATTTGTCTAAACATGCTGAAGTATCGCCGTTTAAACTTTCCATATCATGATAAGTCCACAAACACTTGTACTTGTCAGTTTGGCTTTATATAGCCGGCTTCACAGGATTTTTAAATGTATTTAACAAGTTTTTAGAAATGTTGGCTCTTTATTTTATACCTTATGAACTTAAAATATTTCAAAATTTCACGCTCCTCCTTGCATAAAATTTGCGTGGACCAGATATGACTAAATAATAAATTTTGCATGTTAATTTGTTAATATAATAAAATATTTTTAAAAGTAATCAATTGATGTAGCCCGTATCTCTTTTAATTTTTCCAAATTCAAATTTTCCTTATCTATTCAAATTTAAGTACTGTTTTTTTTTATATTATTCTTTTCTCTTAGAACATATCGGCAAATATCTATTTTTTTTTTTTTAATTAATTTCTTGGATTAGATAAATACTTAGATTACGCTTTACGTTGAGATGTAACGACGATACGTACAGTGAGCTGAACATGTGTGACCGAGGTAGAATCAGATAGGACCTCGTGCTTGCAAACACGCGGCGCCGAGCGGCTTGACAAGTTAAATAATATACATTTACATACGTAGGCAACCTCGTGCCACGAATCTATCCAAAGCCAGGCCTTTTAGTAATACGACACGAGAGCGATGCGAAAGGATTTGAAGTGCCCGTGACATTTATGTACCCACATCGACGTGTAAAAGTTTTAGTAAAAAGTTTGCTTGATTGTGTCAACAAAGGATTCGTATCACAGTGATCATAATATTGTGGACGTCTTTGATCAGATCAAATGTAGTCTGCGCTCTATACTCTCATATTATCAACAAATCAACTAAAACTTTATGACAATACTGGCTTTTTGCAAATGGCTTATGTCGGTTATCGCGGTAAAAAGTAACCTATTCCTTCCTCACGGATCAAAGTATCTCCATGCCAAATTTAATTAAAATCGGTTCAACGGTTTAGCCGTGAAAGCATAACAGACAGACAAACAGACTTACTCTCCCATTTAAGATGCGTAAGGATTATCATCTAACAAGTGTGATGCAATTAATGATGTAATGCCATGTACAAATGAAGGAACTTATGTTTACATCACCCGAATACGCACCAAATTACATCCTAAGGGTTTTAATGGAACATTTTTATTTATTTTTCAAAGAACTTGTTACAATCAAATTATAGTAGTAATTTTCTTTTTGCAGTCGTCTATCCTATTTTCTATTCTATAAATTATCGTTAATACGAATTCAAAGCCATCTCGTGGTATCTCAACAATGTCTGCTCTTGTATGATTTAGTTAAATTTAAATTCCGCCAGTAGTCATATTTCAAAGAAACACTACACAATTTCAAAGAAAATAAAGTAGCACTTAGCGTGATCCTAAAAAACGGTGAAAAGCAATCAAATTGAGACCTTTTGTGTGTTTGACGTTACGAAGCCCTTTCCAATAAAAAATTGAGAGGTACCTACATTGTAAACTTCCCATTACTTTAAGTCAATTAATTCAAATTCTTATCAATTTTTTTTGTACATACCATTTTAAAACGATATACCTGGTATTTTTAACCGGCTTAAACACAAAAGAGGAGGTTATCAATTTGTCTGTATTTTTTTGTTGTATTTGTGTTACGCGATATCTGCGTCAATTGTTTACCCATTTTCTTTTTGGAATCGAAAGGGTATGCACCCGAGGTGGTCTCATTACCACCAAATTGAGGATCTGATGATGGAATCCTAGAGAAATCGAAGGAAACCCTCAAAATTTTACAGCTCCGACAACGTGTTTTAGATTATTTCTCTAGCTTTATAGGTATTTGTGTTAAGTAGTCGTTATGTCATGTTGCTGAGCTGATGATGGAAGGATCCTTGACCTTTAGGAATTAGAAAATAACTATTTCAAAAATCTAATCATGTATTGACCTTGTTTCATACTTTCAAGATATTGGTTAGGTGTTTGTGTTTGGTTACAGAGATATGTGCACAAGAGAGAAATAAATGAAAAAAGAAAAATAAATGAGAAATAAAAACAAAATATTAAGACCAAAAAAATGTTTGTTGCTCAATTATTTTCATGTTTGTTACCTCAAAACTCTTTCATTTGTAAACCGATTTGGAAAATTATTTAACTAGTTAAAAAATCTAATCATGTATTGATTATATTATATAAATAGGTGCTTGATTTTCTTGGTAGAAAGTGGCGCGGCAATAGGTAACTAACAAGAAAATATTTGCGTAACAAACTTTTTTTTTGTCTAAATGTTTTGTTATCTCATATATTAACTCTTTTGTGCACTTATCTCTGTTACCTAACAAAAACACCTAACATATAACTTGAAAGAAAAAACAAGGTCCTTACATGATTAGATTTTGAAAGAGTTATCCTCTAAACCTTTCGAATTCAAAAATAATTTTAAAATAAAAAAAGAATTTTCAAAATCGGTTAAGGCGTCTTCGAGTAATCGGTGAACATACAAAAGAAACGATTCCGATGAATTTAGAACCTCCTCCTTTTTTGAAGTCTGTTAAAAATGTACCGTGTTGAGTGTGAAAAGTGTTTGTTCACTGTCGCGATGTCTTTCTGTAAAATATGAATTCATAACGTATCATTACAGTAAATCGTATAGTATAAAATCCCTCATCGCATGCGACACGTCATGTGCCTCAACCCCTCGCTCTGCTCAGCGCGAAATTAAAACTTCATTTTTAATGACGTGTTGCCATATCGCTTGCCTAGAGGGTCCCTCTATGAAAAACAATAATTATTTATTTTCCTAGGTTTTATTTTACTTGCGTGTTAGCCGGACTATGTTTGCTGAAATTGTTTGAGAGTACTATTAAATAATATATCTTTAACTACGATGCTCCGGTTATTTTATTTTTTCGCATTTGCATTGACCTTGTTGTACTCCTAATTATTTTTAAATATATGTAGTTCGGATGACAATAATATAATTAGAGCTGGTCCGACATGTGTGATGATAGGATATGATAAAAGTTATCCCATAATATTTAGACAATTTCTAATATTACAAATACATAATAACTGCTTTTAACTAGATTTTGAGAGCTCTAATTGCATGCAGTATTTAAAATAATGTTTGCATTCATATAAAAATCCCATATGTAAAGAATTTATTTTAAAACGTTAAAAATAAACATTTAGTGTTGGTTGAAATGGTTTGAATAAATATTTAATATCTGTGTCTTTGAACTACGTATTACTTTCTGATTAATAAGTATAAATTCTTTTTTTTTCAAACAAATCAAAAAAATTTAAAACAGCCAATACTTATTTAAGCAAAATAATACGTCTAGTTAGTAGATTTATTTTCGTCACAAGACATTAGGATCATAAAATAGCTTTGTGATGTTGTCGTGTGGCATTTAAACTTTATGTTTGCTTATTGTGGTTGATTTAATTATGTTCACGTGGTCCACAGTTTATTCATTTTGCATGTGTGTTGCATGGTTTTGTTGTCACAGTCATTCCGGCGCAGATGCTGTCAATGGTGCATACCTACACAAGACACTGTAGACAAAGCTATAGGAGTAGAAACTGGTGATAATATTAATGTGCGTATTGTCGTATCTTATGCCTGGTTAAAGCCACTACAGGTTAAGAAAAGTTTTTCACTCACATTTCCAAACCTGAAATATTACGTGGAATAAATTCAGTTAAGAATCTGAAATGTATTTTCGAATACCATCCGTAAAACCCGACCGCTGAACTTTGGGAGAGGATTTCTTTGTAGAATGGAAATGTAATATATTGCAACCTATATCAAACCATGTTACGTATTACAGGATTCGGGAATGTGAGTAATTACGATCCATCCTGTACGTATTTTATATGTTGCTTGCCTTTCATTTAGATATCGTTGTAGCTAACCAATATTACATATCATGATTCTGTTACCAAGCGTGTCGTGTCTTAAATTAATGTTTTTTTTTATTTTGACAGTCGCTGCAGGCTAAACTGTCCTTTAGCTCTAAGGAGATCGTGGCGTTGAGTTGTTCTTGGTGCAAGGACGCGTACCACAACAAAGAGAGTTGTTTCAATCTTCAACGAATAGGAGAAGAATGCTCATTAGGTAGAGTATATTCAACTAAAAAAAATACTTTATAGTCTCGCTTCTAAAAGATTTTTATTTGTAACAGAAATTTATTATCTTCAATAGGTTTGCAAACAAACATCATAGTTCCACCGTCATGGATCGTTAAATTACCACGAAGAGGTAGCTTTAAATCTTCATTGAGAAAATCTCCTAAGAAAAAAAGTGCGTCTAAAAAGAAAGGAAAAGATTCTAAGAATGAACAGAAGACATTTGTGATTAAACCCATTCCAACTGCAAATGTGAAACCTGTACTGGTTTTCATAAATCCTAAAAGCGGTGGTAACCAAGGAGCCAAACTCTTGCAGAAATTCCAGTGGCTATTGAACCCACGTCAGGTGTTCGATCTCACACAAGGTGGACCAGGCCCTGGGTAAGATTTTTTTGCGCTAAACACGTGTATCCAATAATTTTTATCATCCCTTATGGAAATAAAAGATGGCAAATTAAAAGTCAGTTGTGTAAAGATATGTTCAAACATTGTTAAACAATTTCCTTACTCCTATATAATCGTAAGCCGATAAATCGAGAAATTAGTACAAACATGTAATATCATTATTTAGGCGTAATTTTTTATTATATATTTGTATTTAGAAATATATAAGTATGTATATCAGCAGTCTGGTTACCATAGCACAGGCTCTGCCTAGTTTAAGATTAGACTACAGTGTGTGAGAGTGTGAAGTTGTAATTATTTAATAAAAATAACTTCAAACATCTCACACATGGCAGTATTATATAAAATAATATAATTTATTATCAGATAGAGAAATACTGCTTGCATGGAAAAATACCCGGAATGTCGACACTAATATTTACTGTAATCTATTTGAAACTTTGCTTATACAGGTACGAACTCCTTCCTAATCAAGGGATTTGACAAACCTAGTAGTCAGTTTTACCTACAAATTTTCGATTGAAACGTTTTTTGAGTTGTTAACAAACCACTCAAGGCATGTCAAGCTAAATAGGATTGGGACCCTTCGTGTCTTCCCTGTCGCTAATGCTTTCTCACAATCCGTTATCATATTCTTCCGCTGAGGGTGAGGCTTGTAGATTTTAATTTAAGAATCCATCAATCTTGATTGTTACGTAAAATTTTAATATTGCTCCGGTTCTGTTTTTAATCGAGCGTACCAAATCAATCAATTTATTGAACCCAACATCTCGAATGAATGATCTTTTTTGCCATAATTTTAATATTGACTAATTTCAGATTAATTTGAGATTGGTATTTTAGAAGTGAAATAATTTCCAAAATTGCTTTTTCTCCTCAATTTGAGTTCATTAAGGCCCTTTGTTACACGAACTTTTTGTTAAATATCTGTTATACGATAGAAAAACTTACACACCATTTACATATCTAAGTAAGATAGGGAAGGCAGAGTTATTATTAGTTCCAGTTCAAAAAGGCTTGTTTGTGTGAAAACAGAATTGAACAAAACATAGTAAATGATTAAATTAAAAAGTTATTGTAAGCGAAGTCATTAATTTTTTTCGCTTATAACTGTATAAATTTAAGTATCGCTCTACTTATGTACAGGAAAGCTTTTACGTTATATACATCTCGAGGAACTTGAACATCACGTAGCTTCTACAGAAATCGGTAGAGAGCTTAATATTTGTGTTTTCAAGTTTTACTGATTCAAAACATCGGGTTTCCGTGCAGTTATTATTATCTCCTATCCATTATTATCACATAATTAGTCTGCAAATATTAAGATTTAATTATTATTCATAAAATTTACATCAAAATTGATGATGGGAACTGGTTTTGATCCAGTGAGATGATTGATTATGAAATTGCAGACTGGAGCTGTTCCGCAAAGTGCCAAACTTGCGCGTGTTGGCGTGCGGCGGTGACGGCACTGTAGGATGGGTGCTGAGCGTGCTCGATCGCATCGGATCCCGGCCAGCTGTCGGCGTGCTCCCACTTGGCACCGGCAACGATCTCGCTAGAGCACTCGGTTGGGGCGGGGTAAGGGTTGTTTTATTGATTACTAAGTTATCAGACTCTATTTCGAAAAATTTACGACGTATATGTATCGTTATAATCTTAAATAGTTAAAAAAAATAAGATAGCAACAAAATTGATCAATGCCATTTATCGGTATCAAAAAAGGTGCGTAAAATTGGTTTCGAAAGCGTATAAGCTTAATGAGTGTAGAGTCATATCGACCTCGATTATGCTATTATGTTCGAAAGATCCTTTGTTTCGGGGTTCAGCGCGTTCATGCGTGAACGCGTAAAATATATTTGCCTCGACTTCACGATCATTATGCAAGTGCTTTTGACTCTATATATTATATTTATACTACATTTATTCTTATATTAACAGAAAACTTAAGTGGATAAATATCTAGTAGCTTGACATTTAGGCAATTCGTTTTTATACTTTAATATATTTAGAAAACATTTAGTATACGTTACCTAAGCAAAGAAACTGAAGTTTGTATTCAAAATAATAAGTCATACCTGGTAATACACACCTACATCATCATCATCATCAGCTTATCGCCGTCCACTAGTGAACACGGGCCTCCCCCAAGGAGCGCCAGCCATCACGGTCTTGGGCAGTCTGCATACATCCGCTGCCAGTCCCTTTCTTTAAGTCATCGGTCCATCGTGACGTTTATTCTAGTACATTACCGCCCTTATTCATCCCGCAAGTGTCGTAAGAGCCTACTAAGGGACCAAACTACGCAGGACAACAGCACTGTAAAGAGAAAGAAAGCTTGATACTAACCCTATACCAACCCGTCTGGCTAACGTTATATAGTAGGCCAAAACCTCTTTTCTAAGAAGAGGCCTATGTCTAAAAGTGAACTACTGAAGGCTGTCGATGATGACGATGATGACACTTCAGAGTTTGACTAGTGTAAACAATCTACCAGGGCCGCACACGGGCGGCATTTTCAAGGGGGCGGCAAAAACAGACATCGAAACGAAAACAAATCATTCTCATAATTTGCATATCTTATATATTTTTATTTTGTCATAATAGTAACATCTATTGATCTGTGAACGAACATAATGCAAAAGTTTATAAGCTTCGAATTACTTTATTAAACGTAAGTATGTATAATTTGATGGTTGCCGTGCTAAAGTATGGGCTCCGGCCCATACTTTAGCACGGCAACCAGTTTTGCTCTGCCCGAATCCAAAGTTCGTTGTGCTGAGATTAACAGCGACTTAGTATTAATAGCAGTTCTGGCTGTAGATGAAGGAAAACAAATAAGAAGTGACACGTTGAAGAAAAACATTATTTCATTAGTCAGGGAATCGGAGTTGGGGGCGGCTGTTCTACGGATTAGATCCAAGAACACTGCCCCCGGGCCGGACGGGGTTCCAGCCCGAGTGATGGCCCGAGCCCTCGACTACAAGTCGGACCACCTCAGGGGGGTGTTGGACGCTAGCCTGGCGTCCGGACGCTTCCCTGAGCGCTGGAAATGCGGGAAGCTGGTCCTGCTGCAGAAGCCGGGACGGCCTGCCGAATCGGTCGCGGCCTATAGACCTATCGTGTTGCTGGACGAGGCGGGTAAACTTTTTGAGAGGGTGCTCTCTGCCCGCATCGTCCGGCACCTTTGCGAGGTTGGCCCCGATCTGTCGGACGCCCAATTCGGTTTCCGAGCGGGGCGTTCGACGATCGATGCCGTAATGCGCCTTAGGGCCGTGACCGAGGAGGCCGTGAGCTGCGGCGGAGTGGTGTTGGCGGTGTCCTTGGACATCGCCAACGCCTTCAATAGTCTGCCATTTAGCTGCATCAGGGAAGCGCTCCGCTACCACGGAGTGCCAGAGTACCTGAGGCGGCTGGTGGCAGATTATCTTGAGGAGCGAACCGTCATGTACGAGGCCCGAAATGGCGCCTTGAGACGCAGGGCCATGTCGTGCGGTGTTCCGCAGGGGTCTGTCCTAGGACCTCTCCTGTGGAACATCGGGTACGACTGGGCCCTACGAGGGCGTCTCCCCCCCGGGCTGGGTATAATCTGCTACGCGGATGACACCTTACTCACGGCCCGGGGGGCTAACTTCCAGGAGGCGGCGCGCCTGGCCGCCACGGGAGTTTCCCAGGTGGTCGGGCGCGTTGAGGCGTTGGGATTACGGGTGGCCCTGGATAAGACGGAGGCCCTATTATTTCATGGGCCCCGTCGTGGTCCACCCGCCGGCGCCTCAATCGAGGTCGGCTCGGTCCTCGTACCGGTCCGGGCCCAGATGAGGTACCTGGGTCTGGTCCTAGACGGTAGGTGGCTCTTCGACGAGCACTTCCGACAGCTTGGTCCGAAGCTGGTGGACACTGCCTCCGCCCTAGGGCGACTTTTGCCCAATTTGGGCGGGGCCAGTGTTCCCACGAGGCGGCTGTACGCGGGGGTTGTCCGGTCCATGGCGCTTTATGGTGCACCGATGTGGGTGGCGGCTCTGACCGCCCCGAATAGGGCGCGCCTCTGGCGCCCCCAGAGGATATTGGCGGTCAGAGCCATACGCGGATACCGCACGGTGTCCACCAAGGCGGCTTGCGCCTTGGCCGGAACACCCCCGTGGGATTTGGAGGCGGAAGTGCTCGCCGAAGTTTATCGGCGAGTGGCTGACTTCCGGGCGGAGAGCGGATTTCGCCCTCCGCCCGAGGACGTGCGCGAGTGGCGCGAAGCCGCTCGCCGAGCCACCATGGTCAGATTGTCGTTCCGGCTGGAGACTCCACGCGCTGGCTTCGCCGCCGTGGAGGCTCTCCAGACGGTCATAGCCGAGTGGGCAGGGCGGCAGCACGGGGCCCTTTCCTTCCGGCTGACGCAGGTGCTTTCCGGGCACGGTTGCTTCGGAAAGTACCTGCACTCGGTCGCTAGGAGGGAACTGAGTCCCGCCTGTCAACACTGCGACTGCAGTGAGGACTCGGCCCAGCACACGCTGGCGGTCTGCCCCGTATGGGCGACGCAGCGCCGGGCCCTCACTGCAGTCATCGGAGCAGATCTCTTGCTACCGGCCGTAATTCGCTCCATGGCCGGTAGCGACAGTTGTTTTACCGCGGTCGCAACCTTCTGCGAGGAGGTAATCTCGCAGAAGGAGGCGGCGGAGAAGGCCCGGGAGGACGACCTCCACTCGGACCTGATCCGCCGCCGGCGAACCGGACGGCGGAGGCGCGCTTACCTGCGCCTCATGCCGCCCTGAGTGTGGCCGCGGGTGGACGGGGTGGGTTTCCCCTCCACCCGCATTAGTTGGCCAGCCGCGAGGGGGCGGCGTCCGCGTGTGCCGGACGTCGCCTAAAGAGAGGAAAATTTTGAGACGGGGCCCGCAATAGGAGCGGACCGGCGCTAGGAGGGGTCCAGAAGGCGATAACTACCTGGACCCCTCCTAAACTGGAAGCGCAAAGAGGGCACACCGCGTGTGGTTTTAGTCGGTTCGAGTCCGACACACCACCCCGCCGCAAACCCCGGTGGGGTGACGGTCCGAGGGGATTTCCACACGTTAAAAAAAAAAAAAAAAAAAAAGGGGTTGTGACCCTGACTACTAATCCCGAGGTCGTGGGTTCGATCATAGTTACTGTGTCTGGGTGTAATTTATTTATAATATGTATGTACTTAAAAATATAAAAGTATGTTTATCGGCAGTCTGGTTGCCATAGTACAGGTTCTGCTTGGTTTGAGATCAGACGGTCGTGTGTGAGATGTTGAGATATTATTATTATTATTATTATATCTAACTATAAGTGCTATGGTGCATACAAATTTCTCTAAAGTTTCCTAATTTTAACTATACTAATTTTAATGTGAGTCCTGGTTCCTTGATTAAATAAATTATTATTACCAATAATTATTTACACTTTTTAAACAATGTTTTTGAGATACAGATATCGTCAAAGTTTTAGCAGTAAACGATAGCACAAACTTATTACTATTCTATTGGCATACGAAACAGTGGAGAAATAGTCAACACCCAGCGAAAAGAAATATATTGGCGCCATCATGAAATTTAGTCGGTAATCAAGATATTCCCTACAAATTCATTTAAATCATTGTGGACAGACGTAGATTTTTTCTAGAGATTAGCTATATTTTTAATAGAGCCCGATCTATTACAAATATAGCTAATTTCGGGAAAAAACCCGAAGCGCTACCACGCCATTTTCATCATACAAGTAAAACATTAAACCAAAGAAAAATCATTCATTTTCATTACAATCTACTTATATTAACCTTCTGACGTTTGGTAGGCAATGTTTTAACGAGCTCATAAACGAAGTTTATGGCCTTGTTCATGAAATTTTCGGTTGTCTCAAAACAACAAATAGACTTTAGCCTACCTCGGGATCGGTGTTATATTCATTTATTTATATGAGTTCCGTCATTATCACGGTCCGCCTATTTATTTACCAATACTTAATCAAAACGGCGTAATTTCCCTTAAGACTGTTGTGAAGACATATTAATATTAAATAGGTTTGTCAGGAATCTTCTGCTTACTTTTAAATGTTGTTTATTCCAGCTATAATATTATTTATAACAAATAAAATTATCATCAAATATGATTTTTACTTGAACACTTATACTTTTCTTTAAATCTTATAATTCTATAATATGTAATTATTTTATATACTGTATTCCATTCTATGTAATAATAATAATAACTTCACACATCTCACACACGGCCACCTGAGCCCAAGCTAGGCAGAGCCTGTGCTGTGGTAACCAGACTGCTGAAAAACATACCTATATACTTTTAAATACATACATATCATAGATAAATTATACCCAGACACAGAACAAATCATCGTGCTCATCACACAATTATTCGTCCTAGGTGGGAATCGAACCCACGACCTCTGCCTTAGCAGTCAGAGTCACTAACCACTAGACCAACAGGCCAGTCGATGTATCTACAAATTCCTTTGTTCTCGGTCTCGAATCGCAAAACATGTTTTACCACGAGTAAACCAAAACTTGGTTGAATAAATAGTATTTGAAAACCCGTCCCGTCCACACGCAGCCATACTCAGGGCTTCATGAGGCGCTGGTAAGAGCGCCTCCGCCGCCCGGTTCGCCGGCGGCGAATCGGGTCCGAGTGGAAGTCATCCTCCCGGGCCCTCTCCGCCGCCTCCTTCTGCGAGATGACATTTTCGCAGAAGGATGCGACCGCAGTAAAACATCTATCACTACCGGCCATGGAAACTAAGCAGAGTCTGTACTAACCTTTTGATACCAGCATAGGAGAGTTTTGTCTAGACAACAGAACAAGTAAGAACATGAATAAATACATACCTACATACATGAACATCTCCATGAATTAATATACATAGTGTAAACATAATTATAAATTTCTACTATTGTGATGATATATACTGTATTGAATCAGAGGAGGAGAGGAGTCTGCTCCTCTCATTAGTTTCAATGAAAGGTGATTTTAAACTCTATGTAAAAATGAAGTGATGTTCGTAGGGTTGGCGTGTTCTATCAAAGATTGCAACTTTGGATTTTATGTGCAATGGCTCCGCGCATTTACTGCATAGCCATCGTCCAGTCTACACACAGCGCCAGCGGCGCGATGTATACATCACATTAACAGCCTTTAATAGTCCACTGCTGGACATAGGCCTCTCCTTAGAAAGGAGGTTTTGGCCTTGGAGGTATATCACGGGTTGGTATAGGGTTTGTGTCAAGTTTTTCTTCTCTCTGCAGTGTTGTTGTTCTGCGTAGTTTCTCCCTTAGTCGGCTCTTACGACACCCACGGGATGAATAGGGGTAGTAGCACTCTGCATTCTTAATCTTAAATATGGTTTCCGCGCAATACACTTAGTTTACGCCAACTAATTTGTATTTTGTACTTTTTGATTATTTCAAAATGAAGGTGGGATAAGTGCCCTATGTATAAATATATTAAAATAGTTTTTTTTCGTTTATAATTCATTAAATACAAACAGTTTTACAAAGTTATTAATTTGCTTGTGCATGTCAGTCATGTCAGAGTATATTTAGCAGAACAAAAAATAGAAACTTATTTGAAACGATTTTTATATTCAGAGAGCAAATCAAGCAAGCAAAATGTTTTATTTCTATGTAGCCTACGTATTTTAACCGTTTTATTATACCTCTTACTCTAAAATTTAATTTTATACAAAAATAGGACTCAAATATGTGTGGTCATTAAAAAATTCTGAACTATATATTCTTCACGACCGATCCTATGTGAATTCAGAACCTTTTATCATAGAATGATCTATATACTAAAAAAAAATTACGTTAATTCGTGGTGTATCGTTTATAATAACCTAACTTTGTTGCAAATAACATAAAAACATTAACAATCGAACCCCAAGAGAAAGGTAAATTAAGTAACGGTGTATTTATAATAATTCATTAAACAAATCTGAATTTAAATGACGCTTCCAGTTGTATAATATGTATGTTATTCGGTCATAATAATTAAAATTGTATAACATTGTTGTTACCATGTTGTTTTTCGACGTAAGAATTAATATTACATTTGCTCTTTGCGAACTACTTCTAAACAACATTCAAAAGTGTACTTATTTTAAATATTATTAAATATAATTTTTATACACCGTTACATCAAAGAAGCCTGTCTATTTCATATCTTACGGAAAATTAATTGCTTGTAAAGGTCAACACGAATGAAAGAAAAACATTTACTTTGTTAATAATAGTTACAAAAGAATATTACATAAATAATGGACATCTTTTAATACTCCTATATTTTAATTGAAATTTTTAATTGATTTCTTTCAATTGAAAATGGGTCTTGAAATTTATGAAAACTGTACTCTATGTTGATCTTTCACCATACAGTCATATCAGTAGCAAAAATATGCATTTTTGCCTTTTTGTTAAAATTAAAGTGAGGTACAATAATTATGATTGGTGATGTGGATAGAGATAGAGAATATTACAAAGTACTACTATGTTTTAACATTCCACAATTTGACAGAACAAAATACGGCCGCGACAAAATATTTATATGGCAGGACTTCTCAGTATATTTTTTACTACCTGCCTTTCACATCATCACATCACATCAACAGCATTTAATAGTCCACTGCTGGACTAAGCCTCTCCTTAGAAAGGAGGTTTTGTACTACCTGCCTTAAAAAACCATTATTCTCGATAATATGTAAAATACACAGGAGAAATGAAATATGTACATTTTGAAATTACCATTTTGCAAATGCTTATGTCCAAACAATCTACAATTATAGTTTTTTTTAAATGCATTAATTAAAAGCCCCTATTACTATTTAGGTATCACTAGTTTTAATTGTGATTTAATGTCACGCAAGCTATTATTAAGCGGTAATTATATGTATAGTTTCAATTTAAGTTATACGAGAACTCTAAATAAACAAGACCAAAAGTAGTTTCAATTACAAACAAATTTAAAGCGGCAAGTCAACACCAACTTTCGGGCAATTTGTGGAACTCAACTATAAAGTTTTAAAGTTTGTAGGTGGCTGACTTTTCTTGTACATAGGTATATTTATTATAGTAGGATAATACCTACTATGTGCACTTTTAATAAATAATCAAAAGTTATGGAGAAACAGGGTGGTGGCTGGCAACAGGACTTCTTCATAAAACTTCCTAGTTTAAACGCTTAACTCAACTCTTTATACGTAGGCAACAAGTACCGTATACAAGCATCCCTTATATATCGCTGAAACAGGGATCTAAATATATACATAGACAGCAAATACCGTATACCCGCATACCTTACATATCGCTGAAACAGAGATCTAAATATATATAGTCTTGCTGTGTTTGTTATAAATATTTTATGGATTTACTTCCACATTATTTTGTGCAATTAAAATTATCAAATTTAATGGACCGTCCACCATCCGAACAGTATGTTAAGAAATACTTTAGGCCGGCGATTTTTATCTACAGTTATTTTGACATAGCGCTTTCCTACTCCTACAATCCATGGATTATTCCACGTTTAACAAAAAAAAAATAACACGAACATTCAGATTTAAACCTCCTTGGAGTTGAAAAGAATTTTTATTTCATGTAGCCCAAAAAAGATTGTAATCAATCAAATTTACCTTTCCCGGAACATGACGAGAGCGGCAATCATTGTAACCTGATTAGAAACCTAATGGGAAACCCGATTAAGTATCGATCTCCGCCAAAGATTGGCAAAACCGGTAATGTGGATCGATCTGAGTATAGCACACACACGCACACAGATACTGTGCTGAGCTAGATTAAACTTTATTGTTACTTTTAATAATGATTACCTGTTGTATGTGCTGTTAAGGCTTATTCCGTTGACAGCACTGTATCATTTTTGTCATACAATTCGTTCTAGTACTCGTATATTAATACTTATGTAATTAAACGATATGGATTTAGCACTTTCAAACTTAGTAACATGAAAACCGCCCTTTAATGGATGAATGTTAACCCTTCACTCTTGAGTTGCAGGCATTCATGGGCGGAAGTAGTCACTTGCTATCAGGTGACCCGACTGTTCGTTTTCCCCCTACCTATATAATTAAAAACATACACGACGGAATAGAAATTATCGTATGTATTTTTTTAAGATGTTTAAAACCAATAATTTACAAATTGCTCAAAGCAAAATTCATAGGTAAAAAAAAAAACAAAACTACCGTTAGAACCAAAAAAAAAATAGTAATGTAACAATAGAGTAATTAATAGCGGTTTTAGTTATAATCCCATTACATCACTATCGAAATACCTAAGTACATACTACGTGGGAAGAAAGTAATTTCAATATATATTTTTCCATTGTTCATGTAACGCACACCGCACTAATTATATATTAATTGCAAGAGTAAATAAAGCTTATTTTAATAGGTGAATGTTACAGGAACAACCTAAACTGCTCCTGAATTGTTCACCGAATTTCCTAAGACCAGAAAATTAACTGTCAATTACTTTAAGCAGCAAAAACATATTTATGAATACTGGAATATTGAATTACTTCCATTAAATGTAACGCTGTTAAATTTCATTTAATTATTACTTCTCAAGTAATACTCAAAAGCGATTTCCTCCTGTACATTTATTTTGTTTTCGTAACTTTCTTTCTCTATATCTCCGACTCTAATTGAAGTACGCGGTTCATTTTTGGCTAAGAACACTCAGTGAAATAAGCACTTTTACTTGAGCTTTAGCCCACTTAAACTAATTGAGTTGGAGAGAAGCTAGGTGTGAACATTCAACTTAACTCTATGCTAAAAAGCAACACCGATCTTCATAATATTTCATAATAAAAAATACAGACGTATTGAGAATATCCTCCTTTTTTTTGAAGTCGGTTAAAAACAAAAAAAAAGTATGGGCATACACTTGCCTTTTTAAATTTTCTCTATTATTGCACTAATTTAGTCTTTTGCCAATAGGGATACGAGGATGAGCCGATATCAAAAATTCTGGCGAACATCGGTGAAAGCGATACAGTGTTGTTGGACCGGTGGCAGTTGACCGTGGAACCCAACACAGCAGCTTCGGGTGAAGACGTCAGTAACGCAAAGCCCGAGTTGCCTCTCAATGTTGTCAATAACTATTTCTCTTTTGGAGTGGATGCCCATATAGCGCTGGAGTTCCATGAAGCTAGGGGTAAGACGATTTGACTATTATTACTTAATGGTCTTTAAAAAAATATTATTTTTTATAGTTACAATATATATTAGTTACTTAAACCTGTATCTCCTTTTATCATAATTGTTTCTATTGATGACCTCTAATGGCACCTTGTTTGTTGCATGGAAATGTTTATTTATATTGATCTGAGTATTCTATGTACCAGTATAATATGTATATATTTTAAATAAGTATGTTAATGTATATCCTACAGAGCAAGCTGTGCTTAGTTTGCTTTTAGCTAGGTTCTAGAAGGATATATGTGTTCCAATTTATTATGATTAAAATTATCAGAGAAAGAAACACCGTTACGTCTACCAATACCCGTCTGTATTAGGATTTAGAAATTCCTGAAACAATTCAACACTAATAACGTTAACGGTATCATCGCGTAGGTGAAAACTTGAAGAAAATCTGCGCAACTAGACTGAATAAAATATAGGTCAATTTTTTAAATATATACTTAGTCAGCCATTTTTGAGCCAAAGTAAACCTGTTTATTTTTGCTTTAAATATATTTACGTTACATTAAAAGTATGAGTTTAGGAGTTGTAAGCTGTATTTTTTGGTTCCATATTTGAACACCTGAGCACAAACAAATAGCAATATGTGTTTTCGTTTTTTCTTACCATAAAAATCAGAGCATGTTAGCTTCGCAAATATAATGTGTTTTCAGCTGTATTTATTTCTTAATGAACAGATTTGCTAACTTGTAAACTTAAGCATCCCATAACGTATAATTATGTGTCACGGACAACTTAGGCTTTAAATAAGTATTACGCCTTTAAATAGTATGTCGATTTTACAAGGTTGAACAATCCAGAGGCTGAATACCGGATTTGCTAAAGTATCAAGTTTTTACCTGTTCAGAAGTTTCGTTACATAGCTATACCACTATATATAATCTACAACCATTTTTTCTGGGTTCGTCTTGCGGGTAAGCGTGTGAGCATGAGTCCAATTCCCATACTGTACAAATGAGTGTATAGCATACTTTCAAAATTTTCACTTGACTTTTCACGCGACACCTAGCACGCGTCCGCTCGTGACAGCCTCGCCTAGCGTAGACCCACCTTAAAACCTAAAAATTGTTCAAGAATTTCTATAAAAATCGTTTTACACTTTTACGCCTTAGGTATCTACTCAATCAGGTATCATACAAGTCATTTTGTCAGAGACACAAAAAGGACCAAAAACAACAAACAAAAAACTTATTGTTAAAATTAAAATTATTATACAATAAATTACCATTATTATTATTATCCATTGTCAAAAATATATCATGTTTGTCCTGTCCCGCCTGTTGACCTAGTGGTTAGTGACCCTGACTGCTACGCCAGAGGGCGATTGGGTTCGATTCCCACCCAGGACGAATATTGAGTGATGAGCACGGTCATTTGTTCTGTGTCTGGGTGTGATTTATCTGTAATATGTATATATTTAAAAATTTATAAGTATGTTTATCAGCAGTCTGGTTCCCAAAGTACAAGCTCTGCCTAGTTTGGGATCAAACGGCCGTGTGTGAGATGTGTAAAAAAATATATTTTATTAGTATAAATTATTATTTCATCTTAACATCTCCACTCCATCTTAATCCGTGTAGTGTCATACGAGTACACAGCCTATTCATCCCGTGGTTGTCGTAAGAACCGACTATGGGAGCAAACTAGGCAGGACAACAGCACTCCAAATAGAAGCAAAACTTGGCACAAACCGTATACCAACCCGTCTGGCCAGCGTATTATAGTAGGTCAAAACTAAGGAGAGGCCTATGTCCAGCAGTGGACTATTAAAGGATGTTGATAATCTCTGCACGATCTTAACAGAAAAAGCTTAGGGCCTTTACAAACAGTGAGACGGACTGAAATACAAAATGATCGTGTAAGAATTATTCTCTTTTTGTCAACGGAACTCTTAAAAAACAAGCCTTTACTTTACTTGGCAACATATACCTTAGTTCTAAAACTTCAAAGCTTTGAATACTTAATAGAAGGCCAGGACCTCGCTAAAAATTAAATGACAGTCTGATACATATTTAAAGGGGTATGCGTGCAAAGGGTGTTTATGTGCGCGCTAACTTTAAGTCAAACTTGTTGTAAAGTAAACAGTTCAGTAACATAATTCAAATATAATAGTTTAATACAAATTTACTTTTCGTTTCAGTTCACACTTTCTAGGGAAGTTTGTTTTTGGTAAGCATATAAAAGTACACTGTTTACATCAGAATATAATGAATGACCATCGCCATTTCGCAAATAAAAACTATATGTCTAATATTATTAATCTGAAAAGTTTGTTTGTGTGTTTGGTTAAACGTGCTTATCTCAGGAACTACTGGTTCGAATGAACAATTATTTTAAGGTTGTATAGCCCATTTGTCAGGGTAATCCATATAATATCATAGTAGGTACATAGTAGCCACCAATAGGAGCCGAGCAACAATAGCAAAATTATGCAAAAACGAAAAAAAAATTCCCTTTTAAGAAACGTAGACAAAGTTGCGCGGATTAGCTAATAACTAATTAATATAACAGCACATCCTTGAACAAATAATCGCAGTAGATGAAGGTATCCTTTAAATTCTTGCATAGCATGTACTTTCAACATTTTTTTATAATCTACCTTTCTCATATATTGGCACAAAATGCCTCATCCCTTCCCATTGTTGTACCGCTATATCTGTCATGCCGTCTTTCATCCGATTTCACATTGAAATACTCAGCATTGCTTGTTACGATTTCTACTCTGACAATTTGAATGGATTTTGAGACGACGTAGCTTTATAGATTTACTCCGAATTTCTAAATGTATGACTCAAAACTTTCGTATTCGAATTTTATTTCGTTGTTTACTTTTATTCGTTTTGCTACTCGTATAATTTTTAAATACTTTTTGGCCAAAGTCATTATTTCTGAGCAGTACGAGTGTATATAGTATAGATACCTAACAAAATTGTTCCTACCCACACCGTTGATCAAGGATTCTATTCCCAACACACCAATCTGAATTATTTACCTAATAAACTGATAAATACTCAGTTTCAAATACTTCAAACGGGGTCATATTAAAACGCAATCTACAATCAGATGCAAAATTCATACGAAAAGGCGAGTTCGTCTTACATTTTTTTAAGACAACGCCTGCATTAGTAATATATCCTGTACCGCAAAGATTTACAAACATAGATGTAACGGATACATAGAACATCCAGACTCAGAACAACAATTTGTGGATCACATAAAGTGTGTGTATGGATCGAATCCATAAAACACAGCGCAGTAGAAAGCAGCAGCAGCAAAAACAGCTACACAACGGTATAGGAGTCCAATATGTATTTCGCATTGCCATGGTACAAAAGCACACCTATACACAAGCGATTTCTAGTCCACATTATTGAAAAATACTCCTTCGAAAAAAACATCTCCTTAGGAAAAAACATTATTTATTTTATCTAAATCATCTTTAAATTCATCAATCTTATCAAAACTCAAATCTCCGAGCAAAAATCCATTACATTTTTGTAACCACAATACGTTTTAGATATTTCCTAAGACATATCTGGCGTCTTTGACAATATCGTTACGGACCACAAAGTCTTGTAGTCGTTTTGTCATTGATATTTTTTCACAACATACAACTTACGCAAGATTACTCATCTCCATTAAAGACGTTTACTATAAGCAATCCTTAGGTTTGAGGTTTTTTAACCTACCCAATTCAATACTAAAGCTCGAAAAGAACTCTCCTTTTCACTAGGAGACTTTTTCATTTGATACAAGCATTTAATTAATTACACTCTTTATCGTTAACTCATCTCTAGCGTTCTCCGAATGACAGTGGTGTGGTCAAAACAATGGTATTTACCCTCATCTAGTTGTGCTACAACTTTAAATTTGTATGGGATTCTTCATAATCATCACCATCGGAGGCAAAATGCAAGGCGATGTCTCTACGACACAGTGCAGCAGTGTTAGTTCCTCAGACAGAGGAAAAAAGTGGTTTGCATATGACTCGTTGTTTTTTTCAAATAAAAATTAACATATCGCATTCCCCGACGAACACTATGGTAATCGCTATTACGATAGAATCGGGTTTATTAGATATTCGTTATCTACACACCCTATTACAATCATTGATTTTTTTTTATGATCGGGCGATGAATACTTTTGGATTTATCCATTCAATAATGATCTTTATGTTTTTGTTCAACGTATAACATAAGTGAAAAATTTACACGATCAATAACGCAAAAACCTATTACCAAATCTCAAAAGTCAACATTTTAGAGTAAGCGGCTATTACCATATTGTTCGAGGGAAAAATAACAGAATCAGAATCAGAATTTATACATAGGTACCGAAATGGTTATAACACCTAAAAATGATCATCGAATAAGCATGTAATTTATGTTTACCGTAATATTAAAGTCAGTTATATCATCGAATACGATTGCAATGTCATTTTACGAATATAAAGTATATTCATATTTACCATGGAACAATATCATAATGAACGATTACTACAGCAACACCGATTTGTGATTACAGTCGAACACTATCGTAAAGTTAGTTTGCGTTAATTTTTTCCATAGCTTATTTCAGTAATGGACATTTTCACAATTTTCTTACTGATAAAGAATATTTATGATAAAAATTTAGTAAAAATCTAGTGCAAAAAAATATTTCCTTATTTTTTATAAAAGAATCTTCTTTTTAGTCTTGATAGTATTCAAGATATTCAGTTTTTATTTGCTCCTGTAAAATTGTTATTTTCCTATTACGATTTTGTTCGTCGGGGACTGCGATATACTGGATCTCAGTCACAACTGAGTTTTGCAGAAAAGGCAAAGACTTGCAGAAAAGTCAAAGTCAAGTCGGACAATGAGTGTCTACGGCATGTACTCTTGGTTTTTAAAGACATTACTCCATATTTACATTAATATTAAACAACAAAACGTGCGACTTCACTTACAGATTCAATAAATACCCTTCACTTGATTGTAAATCGCGCGTTTTTGTCAAAGAATCCCAAGCGCATTAAAAAAGGAATAGAACGATTTACGTTTGTTTTGATATCTATTGAGTAAACTTTGTTTTTTTTTAGTAACATTATTTAGGTCTTTTTATTTTAAAAGTTAAGATCGAAAAATATGTATGGCGTGTATGTAATAGACATGAAATGTAGGGCATGATATTAAATGGAAACAGATATGTACTCGTATAATGTATACAGAAATCTGATATCGCTTACGACTAGCTCGTTTTCCTTCCTGTTATTAGTAAAACTTTGTATTTCAATATTTTATTTGTTTGTAAAGTCGGTAACCAACATTTTCTACAGACTATTAAGTAAGCAATTATAGAATATTTTATACATATGATAATGAAACTTTTAATAAAATCATTTATATTGAATTGTGTGATTATATATAAATCAGAATTGTTTATTTATATATCAGTGTATGTATGTTTATTCGTTTATATAAGAGTACCTTTTCTTCTTCTCTAAACTAGTCTGTTCTTTTTTTAATCTTAACATTCTGGCTTTTTGTAAGTTTCGTTAAGGCCTTCTTGTAAACCAGTTTTTATATGACAAAAATTGAAGTGCGAAGAAAGATGTGTCCCTTCCTGTTCCTGTTTTTTCGTTCTTCTTCATAGTGAAAATGTGTCGGAAGTAGTAGTAAGAAAGAAATAAATATTGATTGAGTCAATGGTGTTAAATTACTCCTGGCATTATAATTTTTGTTTAGCAGTAAACTGTTTGCAGTATCTAATATTTGCCAAATTATTAGTAGAAAAGAATTATTTACGACGACTATTAAACTCTTAACTTCAAATTTATATTTCTTAGAAAGTTAAGAACCATATCATTTTATTTTGTTTAATTTTTTGGAACAAGACCTCAACTTATAGGAATGATCAATACTATAGACAACCTTTACGACTCTGACAAACAAACTAAGACGATTTTTATTCTAATAATATATTATTGTTTATCTTATTTCTATTGATTATTTCATTGTTTATGTAGAGGCGCACCCAGAAAAATTCAACTCTCGAATAAGGAACAAGTTATTTTATGGGACTGCCGGAGGAAAGGATCTCATGCAGCGCAAGTGGAAAGGCCTCGCCGAATTCGTCACGATGGAGTGTGATGGAAAGGATCTCACACCAGTTCTTCGGGAGCACAAAGTACATGCTATAGTCTTCTTAAACATTCCAAGGTAAGGTAATCCATTTCTATTTAACTACATATTGTTACTTAAGTTATAACTATCTGTGAATGTAATGTGGGAAATTATAGTCTATCAAATCTAAGAAGTACCGTTTGACGTAAGATTACGTAATCAATTAGTCTTTTATGTATGTTACTGTATAAGCCCGTGTATTGGTTCTATTTTGGGTTATATTAGTAACAATAAACTTGGTCACAAGCGATTTTGACTACGAAAATTTATTTAAACTTACATTGACTTACATTCTTTTAATTATAATTATGCTTTTTCACTGTCACTTGTCAACTGAAATTTAAGTATTACTAAATAATAAAAGACACCTGGATTAAAAACGGCTCGTTACTAATAAGTTCCATTATTTATACAACTTAACCATTATTCGTATACAGGTACATTTGAAGAGTCGCAACACTACGGAAAAGGACTTAGCTACGTGACTTTGAAACGAAGTCTAAAAAAGCAATCTATTGTATATATTGGTTATTTTGTTTCATCATCATCATCATCAGCCTCTCGCAGACCACTACTGGAGATAGGCCTCTCTTATTGCACACCACCCCGATCGATTTTCGGCTTCTCTTTTTCTTTTCCTTTCTTATTTTGTTTAAAGATTTAAGTTTAGTCATTAAGATTTGTACATCTTGTGATATAATAAAAATGTTTTTTTTAATTCTGTGGTTTGACGGCAATGGGTATTCAAATTGTGTGAGTTAGGTTAGTTGTTTCGGCTTGAAAATATCAAACCTCAAACGGTACTGCTTAGATTTGGTAGACTATAATTCTATTTAATTTACACTCTCGTAGTACCACAGAACAGATTCTTTTTGAACATAGCCAATACAAATCGAATGTACTTGTAAACGAAATCTTTACACCACAGTGTATAAGAAATTATTTTTCCTGACCATATTTTTTTCCTAAGAAGCTATTCCAATGGCAGGAATTGGATAATTATCTAAAACAATAACTATCAACCTCGGTGAAGCTGTTCTGAAGTGATTTTACGGTATTTTCAATGGCTTTATTGTATGTTCTTTTAGGTAAATACATTAATTTAACACGGTGTTATAACATTAGTAGAGTTAAAAGAATACTACAGAACTATGCCAAAAGACGTTAGTCGTTAGACGTTAGTTAGGAGATAGTATACCCAAGGAGAAATATAAGAAATATACAACTGTATACAAACACGCATCGTTTAAGTACTAGTTTATTTACAGAACATTACTTTTCTAAGTTAAACCAAGTTTCCCTTTTAATAACAACTGTAACTAGATTTCCCTGTAATCAATGTTGTTATTTAGGAAAGGGAGCTTAAATCACAAATTTCTTCTTGTCAAGCTTTAAAGTGAATAAGAAATAAAGGAAGCGGAACCAAAAATACATAATTTATTGGGGCCTTTCTTTAAAGGCTGATCACAAGAATATTATATTCATTAACCAACTTCAGAAAAGGCAAGGGCTCTCAATTCAGTTTCTTTATTGATACACTTATTCATATTGAATAAGTGTTTCGAAGTCTCTGGACTAATTGGAGTCAGCCTTTTGGCCTCTATGTTAGAAAATTGATGACAAATATGTTTTTACTTATGTTGCTTATAAACATAATTCATTCCGCAATAGTAAAAGTGTAACAATTTGCAATTATTTACTATGAAATTATTTCTTTAAAAAAATATATTGTACAACGTTCCCAGAAATCACGAATAAATTTTTCAGAATCACTTAACAGTATAGATACATTATTTTTATTAAGTGACGCATTTATATTTTTTAGGCAAGATAAAAGTTTTTTAATCCTCCTTTCTAAGGAGAGGCTTATGTCATGAAGAAAAGTTTTTAATAAAGAAAAATACATTTCAATACCTACAAAAAAGATTCATTTGTAAAAGATCACTCTACATCACATCATCAACAGCCTTTAATAGTCCACTGCTGGACATAGGCTCCTCCTTAGAAAGGAGGTTTTGGCCTACCATACCCCCCTGGCCAGACGTATTGGTAAAAGGTTTGTGTCAAGGTTTTTCTTCCCTTTGGCAGTGATTTTGAACTAAATAGTTTGCTCCCAAATCGGCTCTAATATGAATGATGGCTCTAATATGAAGGATGAAGAGGGGTGGTGATGAACACGGACAAAAGATGAATGTTTTTTTTTTATTAATTCTGGAAAACTATTAGAATAGAATATCCTATCCTATTACACAATGTTCAGAAATAATTAATACCTAACAACATTTTTATCAAAAGTCTGAAGTATTTAAATCCAGTAAGAATATATGCAAACAATTTTCCTTAAAGTTTATACACACAATACCATAGAAAGATATTAGTATTCCTTTTTGTTTCCAGTTACGGGGGTGGAACACACCCTTGGAATAAGTCCGGAGGAGCCTTTGAACCCTCTACTGAAGACGGCTTAATAGAAGTAGTCGGATTAACTACCTATCAACTAGTAAGTCGGTTTCAGAGCCATCTTTGAATATTTATGAATTATGTATTTACCTAATAGTTACTAGCTTTATACAAGGGTACAGGTATAAAATACAACAATTTAACTCCATTTAGAAGTCTCAAAGTAGAACAAAATAAATTTTATTTAGGAACTTTCTCCATTCGAATAAATCATTAATCGTTTCTATGTGTGACAGTCATAATAATTTGAAAGAAAATACAAATTAACACTTTTTTATGAGCTGTGAAATAGTTGATACAGTTTAATACATTTTTTATTAAATAGGGCTTTCTCGTGTAAATGAAAATTTTAGAGAAAGCTATGCCTCATTATTTCTAACTGTTCAACTTTATTCTTTGTTCGAGTTATTTGAGAGATGGAAATCACATCGTATTGCTACCGATAAAACTTTAAATAATTTCTTTTTAATTTAGAAATATTTTAATTCCTTTTAACATTTAAATTATTGTTAAATTATTTTTTTAATATGTAAATATTATTATTCCCTATCAGTTATTTTATTATTGAACTTCTGGAAATACTAGATACGAAATAAAGCAAAGCTCTTTTTAAATTTAACTAAAACCCAAAGTAATTTAATAAAACTAAAATAACTGTCTAATTGAGGCACGTATTCCTGGAAGGTTTTTTTTTCGTCTACTTTATATAAAACTTGTAATACCCAAATTAAAAAAAACTTTTGAATCCCTTGATACATAATAACCCTAACCTTGGCAAAATGCCTAACATTGCAAAAATGTTTTCATATCTAAATCAATAATTGATTATCATTACTTAATGCCCATTTTTTGTACTATACAGCCATTGCTTCAAGCGGGTGGCCATGGGACCTGCATCACTCAATGTAAGACGGCAAAGATTGTCACCACCAAAGTAATACCTATGCAGGTAGATGGAGAAGCATGTCGACTTGCGCCCTCTATTATTACGTTGTCAAGACTGAACCAAGCGACAATGCTTGCCAAGAGGAAGCCTGGAAGAGTGTTAGCACCGTAAGTGTAGCCGCTTACCATATACTTCATTAGTAATTTATTAAGTTTTGTTTTAAATGTTGACCTTGAAGCGTTTACCTCGAAGCAGCATTTCATAGACGTTTATACTTCTCGTATACCCCTTCGCATAAGTTTTAAATTTATAACGTAGATTGGAAATAGCTTTCGGCGCCAATTATCATTTATGAACTATTCTCTATTTAAAACCCTAATTGGTGGATTTTTGTTATTCCCTTCTATTCTGGAGAACCTCGTGAAAAGTCGGTTATTATATCGAAAACAAAACAATAGTCCAATCAGACTAATTAATTGTGCCTAACGGATAGTGGTCAACCGAAACTATTAAAAATTAAAATTTGACGCAATCTATTACGTTATATATATTTTAGTCTCACATCTCACATTATTCCATTGGATATCACACAAATGGAATAATTTATTCCACAATTTTCTCGTTTTATAATAGCAATCCGATATGGCTATCGCTTTCATAGATATATTTATAAGGTTTATTTATTAAGGCTCTATCTAAGTAGCGTACCATCATCAGTATTGATGTAAACAACTGAAATATTTGTGGTAAATACATATGTACCTATTTACGTTCACTAATTATCTAGTTATGTCGCGTTATTTTAATGATTGATCCTAAAAGACCCGTATTGATTTCTGGATCGGATAATTTCTGATAGTGTTATTGCCGTCTGAGTTATGTAAAGACAAGCATCGTTTTACTATAATTTTAAATGCCGTAAAGTAAAAAAATGTATAGTTTTAAACGTCACAAGACTAAGAAATTGTTAACATACACAGATCTACAAAAGGAAAGACAAGCATCTCAATACGTATAAAAGTGGAAGTGAGGAAACTCAAATAGATATTATTTAAACAGACGGTTTCAAGTTCAGATAAATAAATTAAAGCAAAGGTATCCCAAGTAATCTTTACCATCACATGAAGTCTACTTACCAATCACATTTAACCGCCTTCAAAAACAGAGACTAGCACTACTGAAGGTGCCATTGGCTTCCGCCAGAGGGCTCATTAGAAAAGTCAAGAAGCAACGTATTTCTAAATAGCTCTTAAGCGCTGCGATAATAAAAAGCTCGGAAAAATATACCGTGAAATGCATACCGTTGCATACTTCTCAAGAGATGGGAAGGCTCCGGTTTTCTTTAATGTTACGATTGCGGCTGATAAAGTCGCCCAATTTTAACGAGGGTCATTTCAATAGTGAACAAATAACGGATCGATATTTCTTCTATTCTTGTTAACAATTTTATTTACAGAAAATACTTTACACTAGAAAAAAAGCCATGTGGTGTCGTGGGACACCCGATAGGAACGATGTTCCTCATGCTATTGGACAAATATTTCATTTATAAATTTTGGTCACGATCACGACTTTCGAGTCTAAATGCGGAAACCGGAGCCCAATACCAATGCTGCAGCGAAGCGTGGCATTCGTGGCGTTTATTATATTATTTATTTATTATTAAAACAAATGTGAATCTGTTTGTTCGTTAGGATTTTCGCGTCTTTACTTCCCATATTATTATATATATAATATTCCCAATATAGCAAATTTTTGTGAATAAAATACACTCATGACCTTATTACCTAAAAAAAGCGATATCTTCAAGAAAACCTTTAGGACTAAAGTGTAATGACAAAACGTGGGTGGTTTTGGTGTAAATAGATCAAAGAAAACTATATAAAAATTGTAACACTAACTCGCAAAATACAAAATATACTGACGTCAAGCTCAAAAAAAAACGGAGCAGGAATGCCTTTGTATTTCCTATCAAAAGTTTCCTTTATAATGTCACTTTAGGATTTTGATATTATGATAAAGTAAGAATAAAGATGAAAGGATTTCTTTTACTTTAGTTTGAAATATTAGTCGAAAAATACCACAAAGTTATATTTTACAAAACATTTGTTAGTTTAGCTGAGGAAACCTTTGGTCAGAGGTTTCTAGTTTTATACGTTACTTACGATTATTTTTTTATAACCAAAAATAAATCTGTGGACCTCTATAGATCATACTTCTGGTCCGAAGGAAGTGTGTGTGGGATTCCACTTTTTCGTTTTGCGAATAGACTTGATTGGCTAACGAGACAGCATAACGAGGACATTAAAAAAATAAGTCATCTCCCACCCCTTCCAGTGCAATATAATCTCTGACATTCAGGCGTCCAGGGGTCCGTTACCATTCCAAATTCAGACTTAAGATGGTAGCATTGACATGTACAGCACGCAAATCCACGATCTTTAGGATCGTAGGTGTTTCGCACTACAAGGTGTGCAAAGATTCTCCAACGAAGAACTATTATTATATTACTTTATTTACTTTAAAAAGTTGTGAAGATACATCGTATAGTTAAGTTATAGTTTAGTCGGTTCGGTAGTAATTAACCAGGGCAAACATTTGTGATGTGCCATAGTGTGTCACTTTCATTTAAGAGTATATTGAGAGATAATTCATGGTAGATTTTTTTTTTGTTGCAGTCAAACCACATTAGACAAACTTACACTCACAGTGAATCTCATAACAATGGCGGACTACGAGAGGCATCATTACGACAAGGAACTGCTAGCGAAAACAGGTATACATTACAGCTGTTAAATTTTGATTTATTTCATTAATGGTATTTTTAGGGTTAACTTTGAAAGTTCATGAAATTCCCCTTGTTTAACTAGAACACGTGATACAAAGGCAGGAAAGTTACGAAAAGTGTAATACGGTTATAGGAGCTGTAATTTAATAAGTATTAATAATGGCACAGTAACAAATGATAATTCAAAACGTTAGTTAATTTCGAAAAACGTACTGTTCTTTTTCTCTCGAGCATTTGTGTTGAACTTGTACCTTAATGTGCTCCGTTGTGGTAGGCGAAAAACGAGATGATATAATCGGGGTTAAAGTATGAAATAGCCCTTGTTTAGTAATAGATACTTTGAATTGACATAAAACCTTCATGATGTGAGATTTCCGTGTGAAACCTTTTTTCACATGATACCTATTAGGTTATTCTTTTAAAAAATGTGCAACATTAGTTTTTGGACTTTCAATTGTTTTTTTCATTCAGCTTAGACGTGAAAGATGGATACTTCGAATACCCGAGTCATTTTTTAATACGAGTTCCGACGCGGTACTAACGCCGCAGAAACGGCTCGCAATATCAACGCTGCGCTTGGGGAGGAAACTGCTAACCGTGCGTTTTTGGTTTAAACGCTTTGGTAATGGAAACTTCGACTTGAAGAACGAACTACGTGGAAGACCGCCTACATAGGTGAATAATGCTGAATTAAAGGAGATGGTGGCAGACGATCCGAGTCAAACTACCCAGGAATTAGCGGCATGGTTTAACGTTACCCTACCTACAATATTGACTCATTCGCATCAAATCAATAAGCTAAAAAAATATGAAAAGTGGGTGCCTCATGATTTGACTGATCTGCAGAAAGAAATGACTGTTGAAACTTGTGTTGACTTGCTGAATTGGTACAGAAATGAAAGAATATTGGATCAAAATGTGACATGTGACGAAAAGTGGATTGTTTACGATAACCGTAAGTGAAAAGTGTAATGACTGATCCCAGGTCACATGCCGCAACAGTGCTCTAAAGCATTGAAAAGGTAGTGGTAACTGTTCGACGGTCTGTTCATGGTGTTATTCACTATAGCTTTCTCAGGTCTGGCGGACAATAACAGCAGATATTTACTGTGCCGAACTTCGAACAATGATGGCAAAACTGTCAGTGAAACAGCCCGGACTTGTGAATCGATCTTCACCATTATGTCTCCATGACAACACAAGACCTCACACTGCACGAGAAACCGTTGTAACTCTACAGGAGCTGCAGTTAGAAGCCTTACGTCATCCTCCGTATTTACCAGACCTTGCTTCAACGGACTACCATTTTTTTCATGATTTGTACATTTTTTTTAGTGAAAAAAAAATTCTTCTCAGGAGGCAGTACAAAATGCTTTCACACAGTTTGTCGAATGTAGAGTTCTATCGTAAAGGCATAAATGAACTTCCGTTTAGTTGGCAGCCACATTATCTATACGTGGCTGCCATCTGAACGGGAGTGTGAATGAGGGTAAATATTTTGATAAAATAAATATGTTACATCTTAGAAAAAAACGAGTTTCAATTTTTCAGTACAAATCTGCAATTTCATACTATAACCTCTAATACTTTAAGTTTTTCTATTACTACATAATATATGTTGTGTGGTTTATTTTAAGGTTAAACTTTTTAAACTTTAAACTTTTTTAAACTTTTAAATTATGAAATGTACTATTTAAGACTTTATTATAATTTGTTACTTCTTGAAGTTTCCTTCAAGTCTTACGTATAAATATCAAGATATAAACATATTGTTTTCATCATCGTGGTGTGTGGTGGCCTACCCGTGTAGTGACGGATGAGGAATACGGAATGTCACGTCCCCTATTCATCCCGTGGATGTCGTAAGAGCCGACTAAGGGAACAAACTACGCAGGACAACGGCACTGCAAAGAGAAGAAAAACTTGAAACAAAACCTATGCCAACCCTATAAATTAAGCGAACCTATGAGTAACCTCTGTTAAAATATTCAAAAACGAATCAAACAGCATGAACAAGTCCAATATTTCCTTACAAAATCCGCGTAAGTAAAATACCTCCGTGAGTCTGTTGGCCTGTCCGTGAGTTGGCGTCTTCCTTGAAGTTCGGCTTACATTCTACTGTAAAAGGTCTAATAAAAAATATTTATTATTTTACTTCATTTAAGTTGTATCTAATTTGGATCTGAGTATAATTTACATGATAAAGATAAGTATTAAAATTTTACAATTAATCATAAAAACTTGCAATATACTGAAATTATAATACATGGAAATAAATTAGATTTTTATTACATCACGCGTAGATTAAATCTCAAACAAATAAATCTGAAAATATCGAGTTAGTACATCGTGTCGTGCATAGCCGAGCGCATCACCCGCCCCGCGTCCCGCAAACCATCGGGAGGGCCGAGCTTACGGCGGTTTAACTATAAAACATAAATTCAGGTGGTACAATAATACAAAGATTTCCTCTCAATATTAATGGTAAAAGTTTAAGCAGCGCATTAATAAAGATAAAATCGATATTATAGCTTGATTTCACTTCAACTACTACAGTCGTTCTGCAAAGCTGCGGATTTTGCTTTACTCACATTTCCTCAGTTCTTTATAGAGTTAAATTCAATATCACTTGTATTTTTACAAAGCGAAACGAACATAAGGCACTGCTCGAGTTAAACAAAGCCGGCTAACATTACATTTCCTTTTGATGTCAATGTTAGTAACATAACTTTTCATATTCTTGTCATTCCATTCTGAATCGAACAATAACAATACACAATATTTTGGATCGGTTTAACATTTTAATGTTCGTTTTAGAAGTATCCTTCCGAATTTGAAAAAACTACTACTACACGGGATATAGGTTATCTATCTATCTTTCTGTCAAGACTCTTTTTCTTGGGGAAGCAGACATAATTTGTTTTTAAATAGCGAATGATTGGCCTGTTGTCAGTGGTTAATGATCCTGATCAAGTAAGATTGTGTTACAACATCTCTCATAAACAAAAAATATTTACTGCTCTTACCTGGATATTATATTTTCAAAAAGCAAAATGCAGTTGAAAACTGTTCACCGACAAACATTATGTTAAAAAAGTCTGTATAATGCGCAAAAGAAAAAATCTTAACACACAGTGGTAATAAGGTACCTGCAACAAAAAAAAAACAAAGAACACCACAGTAATAGTCTCTTTGACAACAGTTCTAAAAGACTATATTTATAGGTTGTAATTAAACAAGCTTCCTTTCTTGAAGTAATAAAAATAAGGAAATAGGTACTGTCAGGTGCAAACGAAACTCTTATGATGTTTATGATGCGAAGTCTCTACGAGAAACAATAAATGAACAGTTTTTAAATGAACACAGAAAATGTAACTACTTAGATACTATAACTACAGTAATTAATATCGTGATTCTAATGTGAAATTCTGTTTTTTTTTTTTAAATTGAATTACTTAATTAAACTCATTACTATGTAAGCAGAAGTTAACCCTTCTTTCATTAAGTATAATTTTAGTTGTTGGATTTTCTGTATTTACCATTACTAAATTCAAAAATCACTGATCATGAAATTCAAAAATAATAATTATCACTTGCATTTTATGCTCCTAATTACGTGAACGTTTCTTTAATATCAATAAATCATGGGGTAAAAAAAGGGGTTGCTGTTTTATTATTATTTACACCTAACCTTAGGCCTAATTGAATAGGTTATAATGGCTAATTATTTGTCGAAAACTGCATTTTCGTTTAAATAACATATTATTGTTTAGCTTTGACGACTCATCAATTAATGAAGAATTTATGGAAAAATTGACAAAAAACCGCCATTTGGAATCTAATGCGGTTTCTGATATGACCAGTCACTAGTCATATCACTAGTCAGACCACTTCTTTCCCGGGAAGAAGTAGTCTCTTTTTTAACTTTTGGGTCTGCTAATTTAGACACACGTATAAACAAAGACTGTAAATTTGTATAGGAAGTTTTAGTTCCCAGCCTTTTTTGGTGACAGAGTGGAAAATTCCTTCGGATCGCCGTACTACCGGGGTACGTAATCGGAGAGACGGGTGATATAGAGACCAGGGGAATTTCCACTAAGACCAGCGCGACGACCCTCCTCTGGACAAGCGAACTCAGACGCCCTACTCTGTCGAGGACCTTAACCATGTGATTTCAATTTCGGGCGAAATAGACTCCGCGCCTGTAGATAGAGTAAGACGCAAACCTTCCTCCGGCTATCGGCCCAAATACTATGCACCCCGAAAGCGTTTTGATGCAATCAAGCCGCAAGTTTCTCTGCGCCTATCAGCTCAATAACTACGTTGATCTCCGAAAGCGTTTTGATGCAATCAAGCCGCAAGCTTCTCTGCGCCTATCAGCCCAATGACTACGTTGCGTCCCGAGACCGTTTTGATGCAATCAAGCAGCAAACATTCCTCCGCCTATCGGCCCAATTACTGCATTGCAGCCCGATAGCGTTTTTAATGCAATCAAGCCGCAAGCTTCCCTCCGCCAATCGTCCTAGTTACTACGTTTCGTCACGAAAGCGTTTTGATGCAATCAACCCTCAAGCTTCCCTCCGCCTTTCGGCCCAATTACTACGTTGTGGTGCTAAAGCGTCTTGATGCAATCCGAAACGAATCACGTCCGATCCCATTCTGGTACTCACCAAATCACCAACTGGAAATACAACTCCACGTTTCCTCCGTCTTATGTGGTGCTACCCGTAGGCCTAGACCAGTGATCTCCAGGACCTCTATCTAGATAGCTGATGACACTCACTCGTTGGGGGAAGACTGGTTCTTAGGACCTATAAATATACAAAATCATCAAACAAATTCAATTCAATGTCAACTTATTATTGAATTGTGCAGGGAATATTAAATGAGTTCTGTTTTTTGAGACACCTGGTAGTAATGCAGTAGCTGTATACTTTTGTTGGGAATTACCAAATTACATAAAATAAAATTAATTAAAAAGTATTTATACGATTTTATTTTTTATCCTTAAGAATTTATTAATTGCTATCTATAAAGGAATTAATAACTTATGTATCTTAAAATTGAAAGAATGTTTGTGGTAAGCTTTGAAAACTAAGATTAGTATTTAATATAAAGATGTTGTAAATTTTAATGGTGTTACTAATACTGTTGAAATATTGTTAATAGCGGAGCGTGTAGGCAGCTTAGACGTGAACCCTACAGCGGACTTGGAACAAATGCGACGCCTCATTCAAGGCATGATCAGAGAATCTCAAACGTACTCAAATCTCACTGACTGGTGGTTTGTCGATTGTGAGTTATAATCGTTACTTTGTATGATTTATGTTTTACCTGCCTCTTAAACAATACCTTATGATATTGTATTTACTCTTTCTGTATTAGTATTTTAATATCATACATTCTGACTAGATACTTAAAAGGCACAACGTTAATATGATTAAAAATCATAACATTTTCATTATTATCGGAGTATATCACGTGTATCTTCCATTCCTCCGCAAGAACTCTGTTATATAAGTCTCTGTATATAATTAACATTTTTCCTAAAGCCTTCATGTTAACGTTAATATTACGCTTGAACTAATAAAGTCCCCCTAAGGACCTTCTTACTAATTACTAGAAAAAAGGCCACGAAGTGGATAATGTACTGGATTAACGAGGCCGAATACTATTTTGCCTTTAGAATATTTGCCACTTTTTGTAGAAATAGATAATATTATGGATTAGCAACAAGAAATATTTACATACCTGTTAAATGAAGTAGAAAAAGTTCATATTATTTAAGTTTTTTCGTGTTAATACACTACCATATTTAGTTAAATAGCCATAAATGTTACCAAATTTAAAAAGTAGCTAAATACTATATTTCAAACAAGGATTTTTTTACTAATTAATACTCTTTATACCAGCTGTAACGGCGGAACGTTTCTTTCGAATCGACAAGGCACAAGAGAATCTTCACTACTCATCAGATATAGGTCATGAAAATATATATATTCTGGATGCTGCCCTTCATACACCTGACACTGAGTCAACAGCACATCCTGATACGACGGCGACAGGGTCTTTGGAGCGAACTGCAGCTTCAGTGTCTTTAGACACTACTACCGGGCTCTCAGTGTCACTTGACATCTCACAGAGCGTTGATACACCAAGTGCGGCAGTGTCGTTAGATGTTCCTGAGTCACATCCATGGTAAGTCTCTCCCATCTCATCATTCAACTGTCACATCAACAGTCTGTAATAGTCTACTGGTAGGCATATAGGCCTCTCCCTAGAAAGGAGGTTTTGGCCTACTATACCACGCTGACTAGATCGGTATTATTAAACCATAGCGGTCCATAACATATAATTCTGTTTACGGGACTTAACGCGTTCACGATAGGTAAATCGTCGGTCGTGGTCACAGGCTGACTGGTACAGCGGTGCGCGCCCTCCGCCGTCTAGTTGGTGACGTTGAAGTTTCTTTATCCACACGAATCGTTCGGGTGGATGGAGACCAGTTAGCCTGTGACCACGGTCAGTGAAACCTGGTCGAAACGGCATTTCAAAAGTATGTTTACTTTACTTAATACCTTTCGTAAGCACGTTAATTCCCGTAAACATAATTATGAGTTAACTATTTATTTGTAAAATGAATTACTACTATTACTATTTATTCACTACTAGCTTTTGCCCGCTGCTCCGCCCGCGTGTGTATCAGTTGTCGCGGCAAAAACTAGCCTATGTTACTCGCTGATAATGTAGCGTTCTATTAGTGAACGGATTTTTAAAATCGGTTCAGTGAGTAAGGCGTGAAAGCAAACAATTAAACAAACTTACTTTCACATTTATAGTATACTAGCTTCTGCCCGCGACTTCGTCCGCGTTAAATTAGGATTTGGTGCAGAGACTGAGTTAGTGTAGACTACCGATATTTATACCGATGCCAATGGCCACTCGATGGCATCTCAGTAGCGTGTCAGTGGTATGACACGGGCTTGGCGTGAACATAAAATAGCAGAATTGAGGCCCGGGTCGCATACTCGGTGGTGACAAAATTCTTCCCCCACGACACGCACCGTACGCCCGCAACCGCACGACCACTACACCGCGATATCATTATTTTGCTATGGTGTTATTTTAAAACTGCGATATCTTCAAAGATAATTATTAAAATCAAGTGATGTGAAGGGTATTTTGTTAACAATTAAATACTTGTGATGAATAACGTATTTATTTGGATGAGGAAAAATACTATGTTTATAAAAACACCTTCTCAAATAATGTATTATTTCGGAACAAATTTGATGACCATAAGTTTCTTTTAAGGTTGTCTACTACTAATCAACCTTAAAAGATACTGTCGCGGACTTTTTTGTAGAACTATTTAAGTGATACATTTCCGTCTTACATTATATTCGCGTAAGTCTTATGGTTTTTACAGCGCACCCGAGAATAGGTTGTATATTGCTTGGAGATTTTTGCCGACTTACGTGACAGTTATTGTAATATTTTGTCCAATTTACATAATATCTTTATAAATTATAACCTATGTCCTATTCTGATATATAAGCTATATTATTGTAAAGTTTTATTAAAATCCGTTCAGTACTTTGCGTGAAAGAGTAACAAACATCCATACATCCATCCCCATATCCATGCAAACTTTCGCGTTTATAATATTAGTGTGAAGTATGGATAGTAAATATATATAGTAATTTAGGTGTTCCCATAGATCATTATTTTTTTTCCTTCTCATTTAGCGAATCTGGATTGGGCAGTCCATTGCGATCATCGGAGGAGCTCCTATCTCCACAAACACCGCCCCCGGGCTCGGTGACTGTAGCTACTGCAGTAGTGCCAGTAACTACCGGGGTACCAGCGGCTTCCATTATATCTACAGCTCCCGTTGTCTCGAAATCGCCTGCAAAAACACCAGCACCCTTGACCCCTCCAGCTACACAGCAGGAACCTTTGTCACCGCCATTGTGTACCAGTCCACTTACCAAAGACCACGAACCTACTATGGACTCAATAGCACGGTTCAAAACGTGAGTACGTCGTGAGTTTCATCAATTTACTTCCTCGTTGTTAACAGTGTTTTTTTTAAGTTGAGAGCTAATTGATCAAAACTAAAAGCTTCTTATTAACGGATCGTAGGTCGGGAAATATGATTATCACAGAAATGCTTTCATTTCACAAATAAGGATAAACCAGAATTTTAGTTAGCCGTAACAATTGTAGGTTTGCTTAAGTTTTGGACCATATATTCCCTAACAAAATTTGCTGTATTATTTTAAAAAACAAATTATTGTTTTGACTTGAAATACAAAGTGATGTCCCTCGTAATGTCTTTATTAGACTAGTCTGGCTATAACTTTTTTAATCCTAAGATCTCAGCAAGGTACAAGGTAAAAAATATCAAATATTATTGGCAAAGTGTGTTTAACAAAATTAGAAAACTGCACGACTTGATAGGCTGAACTATTTAACTCTGTTTTTAATATAGCATGGTGAGAGAAAGATCACAACATAGATTCTCAAATTGCTTAAAACCTAATTTTTATTTTCCTGTTCACAAAGAATTTATCCTGTCGCAACAAGAAAGATACTCCCTTGACACTCTCTTACTCCTTTTTCGATTCTGAAATTAAACTCCGACAAACATTTCGCTGCCGAATGAGTCGGCGACAGAATGTTTCGTTTATGAGTTGTTCAACGACAGAACCTTTCAATTACAAACGATTCGCCGACAAAACGTTTTATTTACGACCTAATCAACGACAGAACCTTTCCGCTACGAACGTTTCGCCAACAGAACGATTCATTAATGAGTGAATCGACGACAGAATCTTACTTTGTATTATTAAATGAGAAATGTGCGCCCATACATTTAAGAAGGTTTTTTTATGTCCACATCATCCTTTTCTGACTACATACAAACTAATTTAAAAAATCGCAACACTACATTAAATGTTCACTATATTTATGCTTAAAAACAGTAAAAACTTACAGATTATTCTTTAAAAACACTATACACAACCTTTGGCCTTTGGAACTAGTAGTGGAAAAACAAACAATATTTAAATTGTTAGCATACAAAGGAAAACGTGAACCGTACAGTCCCGTGAACGGAAGTGTGATAATGTGTCCTATGAACTGTAGAATTGTTTTTGTTATCATAGTTGATTTGTTATGTTCTTGTTTTGGTAAAAACCGTGGTTATTGTTAACAATAAGTTATTTTCATTTGCAAATATTTTTCATTGAACCTTTCAAAACGTATAATCTTTAGATTTAGTCACTAGCAGTGCCAAGCTATGCCTAAATAAGCTTTATCCACAAATTATTTTTTGGTGTAAGATCGTTCTGTCAGCGAAACGTTCGTCACGGAAAGGTTCTGTCATTGATTAGGTCTTATATAAAAACATTTTGTCGGCGAATCGTTCGTATTTGAAAGATTCTGCCGTTGAACAACTCATAAACAAATCATTCTGTCGGCGAATCGTTCGTACAAGTATGTGAAAGGTTCTGTCGTTGAACAACTCATAAACAAAACATTCTGTCGGCGACTCATTCGTCAGCGAAATGTTTGTCAGAGTTTAATTTCAGAATCATTTATTCGCCTATGGTACTGTCTTCTTATATATTTTTTGAATTCTAACTGAATTTTCATTTGTCTAGTAGAAGTGAAAATTCAGTAACCGACTTAAAGGATCTAACTTATCTTTTAAATGAAAATATTACCTCCTTCAAACTTGATACTCACACCAAGCTGTTTCAAATACGGAGTGGTTCTCGACGTGACGCTACAGTTCCGTCTATGTCTCTATGCTGGTAGGTGTGCACAAGTATGGCCAATGAAGCACGAACCACCATTGTTTGGGAATTGAAATCTGCACTCTATCTCTTCTTCTATTGCATGCAGCATTCATGAAAAGTTGTTTGGACTTGAGCAAGAAGTGTTTGGCTATAGGTGAGACACATGAATTAGAGTAGATAATATTTACATGTAATTAATGTTAAGATAGCCAAAGAAAGTACGTACCTTTTATTGAGAAGAAAGAAATATCCATATTTCAAATTAAATTTCGATGTAAGGAGAAGCCTCCTTTAAATTAAATAAAATAAACAACAAGATACCAATGAAATCAAATCGGAACAACGTAGTAAATATTTAAAAAAACATAATTGACATAATTTACTGATCATCTATATTACAAGTCGGAGTGAAATGAGACGCTTCGCTCGATCCATCAATGACAAAACCTTAATTACATCCATTAAAATCAGCATCAAAATTCACGTTGTTCCGTACAAATAATGAAGTACTTACAATTGACAACCGTTATTTTCAATAATTATTAAGTATGTATTATTAAAAGCGTATCATTATCAGTTCTAAAACTTACAGCTATTACGCATAATGATTATATACTTTCGTATTTGTTAAACAGCTGAACATAATAAGTTTGAAATTTGTGACGTTTAGTTAGTACGCGAAAATCCTGGCAAACTAGTAATAGCGGGTTTAAATCCCACTCGGTGAATTACTAAATTCGTAAAGTAATACTTCAAACTTGTAATATTAAAGCAAAAAAAGGAAAATAACTCCCTTTAAGTTCAAAGCTAATTAAACTAGCTTGAGTAGATAATAGTGTTCAACATCTATTTTAAATGTTTACAGGCAACGAAAGCAAACAGGGCCTTTATAAAAAAATATTTTGTTCATAAAAATAGTATTTATTAAAATTACGCATTTGTTACTAATAAAACGTTATAGTAAAATGAATTATTAAAATCTACAGACATTTTACCAGTCTATACATTTTTTTATAAACAATATATGATTTTAATATTTTTCACGCGGACCCAACAATTTTTGGGTGACTTCACCGCTAGGAAATAAAGCGCACGACTTTAATTTATTTAAGTCGAAGTTAAAAATTTAATTGATATATAAAATTTCTAGCTATATTTTACAAACGCCAAAACCTCCAAAAATCTCATAACTGTAGATTATGTTTGAGTATCTATTTATGTTTTGAATTGTGGTATAATTTTCTTACAAAGAACAAAGTAAAAGTTCGGAATTGTTTCAGAAATTTATTGGAAAAAACATCTGACGGTCTGCTCAAAGCGGCTAAAGTTGGTGATCTCCGAATGGTGAGAAATAATTCTTTATTTCTTTTCTACGTGACTTTTCTCCTGATATCTATAAATTGAAGATGTTGTTAGTGAGCACAGGATGGCTTACAAGTTCATATCAATAAATAACGGACAAGGTGGTACGAATTGTTGGTACTGGAGTACTGGTATAAAGTTAGAAGAGGTTTTGTTATTTATAATTCATCTAGAACAAGTAGTTGTATTTCAGTGCATGTGAATTTAGATCAAGCTAAACATAATTAAGTATAAAAAAAACAATAAAACAACAATTTTAAGCTTAGTCATATTAGATTGCAATTACATTAACTTAAAAAGAGATTACCATTACATGGCACAAAATCTTTGTAGGAAGTGAAATTGTGTAATTTCAAGTTTATAGAGTACGTATTTATATCACTGATTATAATTATATACGTTACCTTCTTTTAAACCAGAAAATATCTTAACAGTCAAATATGACTTCGACTGCACGGTTGGCGTAGTGGTTTAAGCGGTCGACACGCCGCTTCCTACTACACCGAGTGTTGTGGGTTCAAACCCCACATGGGACGACACTTTGTGTGATCCACAAATTGTTGTTCTGAGTCTGGATGTTCTTTGTGTCCGTTTCATGTATGTTTGTAAAGTCCCCCGCGACACAGGATATATTCCTAATGCGGGAGTTGTCTTTAAAAAAAAAAAAAGAACAAAAAGAACTTTTAATAATATGCAACAGATAATAAATCCTCTAACTATTATATTTGGTACTAGCAATAAAAATACTAATCACAGAAATTTTGTTAAAGATGAAAGACCTCCATGCGGCGGGCTACTCTCTTCTGTCAATTGACGCGACCGGCCAAACAGCTCTTCACGTGGCTGCACGTTACGGCAACAAGGAGATTGTAAAATATCTTATTGCGTGTGCTCCAACCACCATTCTCAATATGAGGGATAATGAAAAAGGTCAAACAGCGTTACATAAGGCAGCCGCACATAAAAGAAGAGCTATTTGTTGTATGCTGGTAGCTGGAGGAGCGTCTCTGACAAGGCACGACCACGCTGGACTCACACCGCGACATCTTGCTCTACGAGCTGAGGATCATGATCTAGCTGCTTACTTAGAAAGTAAGTATAGATGGAATAGATGTTTTAAAAATATTATTGAAATATAAGAGGAAATATTGTTTTCAATACTTTTTCTTAAAAATAATAATGATGTGACTCAATGGCCCTCAATTTACGCATTTAATTGTAACTGGTATTCAGTGCATTGCTTGTGGATCTGTTTAAAAAATTATGAACTCCTGTCTACAGCCTTTTTTTTTACGTAAGGTATAGTAATGATTTGCTTCTTTTTAGGTCAAGAACATTTCCAATTGGTCTCTGAGGATTTAGAAACTGCTGTTTAAAGGCAACATTTGATGAAGTTATGAAAACGGCAGATGGTCGGCCAGGTGGAGCCTTAGACTCAAGTGATAGTGTTAATAAGATATTGTTGTAATCTAACACCGAAGTGATATTTAAGATCTAGAGGAGCCTAATCTGCGATTTGCAATTCAATTCATAATAAGAAAAAAATTTAAATTCAATTAATTAATATGTTTTCATCATTATAATTATATAATAATCAATTTTTATGGTTAAAATCCTGTAAATGTTACAGAATATAATAATAATTTATATTAGAGTACGATACATTTGTATAATTATAAATTTATCAAAACTCATAATTAATCCATTACATGATAAAAGATATATTCTGTAACATTTATATTTAAATTAAAGTAGTTAAATTTTAACTTACTCTTAATATTTAAGATGAATCTTTACGCGATTTCTTTAAAAAATATTTCTCGTTTCGAAAATGAGGAGTGAACGTTCTCATGAACTGTGAAACAGCTCCTAAGTAAAAGTGTGTGCCTTTCCCATACGTTGAACAAACAATGAGACGGTGGAATGTATCCCGCATTTCCATATGAATATTGAAAAGAGGAAGTAAAACGTTCTAAAGAAATAGGTGTACATGAACTATGAAAATAAACATGTTGTTTTCACGACCGCAACTAAAAAGTTCGTAGCTGCACAAACTCGCAGGTTCAAAGAGTAGAACACTCGATAATTTTAAAACACCAAAACTATATCGCGCTTCGTGAAATGAACAGGATGAGTTATAGACGATAAAAACTCGTCTATAACTCACACCATAAATATCGTTGTACCTATGGTTTGTAAACCATAGGTACAGCGATATTTCACTTATCTGACACTTTCGACAGTGCAATCATTTTTTCCGATTGCGATTTCTGACCGAATGGAAGGAATGGCTTTATTAAAACTAGATTCTTATTTACAATGCCAATCGTGATGCTTTTTGAGCACATAAATTTCAACTCGCAAATATTTTTGCAATAAATATCAACTTACATAGTACATGATATAACAAAGCGGGGTTACCTCTATCTAGCAGAAACTTGATGCTCCGAAATTTATTTCGCATAACACACTTGGCAGAATTTTCTTTAAACGAATATTTTTAAGGCATAAAAATTATTTAGTATAATCATTGTTTGGCCGAATGTTTATATGACCAAATTTACAATGGTATACATTCAAGATGACATAATTTTATTTAGCATACTTACCTTTGGGAGAGTACAAATGCCGCATAATTTCGTTTTGCATAACGTTTACTTAGAGTGACGATTATTTGGTACAATTTCATTTGGAATAATTTTATTAGGCATATTGCCATAAAATTGCATTTTTTAAATTAAAATATCATCTTAAAAGTCATATGTCTTGCTAAAAAAGTTTGTGACAGAAGCGAATCGCTGCAAAACGGACTTCACGTAGTCTTGTCTGCCCTATCCCTAGAGTCTGCTTCTACGCTCGCCGCCGAAGATGCGGTGGTGAGCGGTGAGTTCATCTGCGACGATAAGCTCGCGGGCCGACGATAAGCCGTGACAGATATACTGCATGCTGCATTCTTGCTGGCTTTATTATGATGGTAAGAGATATAAAATGAGGGATAGATAGTCTTTCAATTATTATAGAAATGAAGTGTATGCCAAAAGATGATTATCACTGTAAACTTCCTGAGATATAAAAGTTCTGCCTTATAATGACTATCGACACGAAATGTAAGCTCAAAGACGATTCTGACTATGAACTTTCGGCGATATGATGGTTCTACTTTTTAATTATTATGGATATGAATTTAATGCATAAAGATGGTTATGACAAATTATGAGTTTTGAATGTATGATAAATGAGTGTCTGCCAAACGATTTTCTGCGAAATGAAGTTTATGCCATCCATCGTTATGCAAAATAATATCATGACATAAAAAGTTCTGCTATAAAGGGTAGACCCAATAAAGTAATATTGTGGCATAGTTTAAGGGCCTTATACGACGTCTTCATCTGTTCCTAGAAATCCCAAAAGCACTATAAAAATCAAGAGATTTATTGCACATCATGGGTAAAACATGTTATGTTTGTAACCTTTACTAATGTGTCGCATTCACTATACAGTGTCTTAACACGATATGCTCTATAATTTCGTTATTCGTGAAATCAACCTATAACCATTCTTCTTTAAATAAACAAGGAAATTATAATAAGGGATACATTTACAACGTCAACTTAGTTGTTCTTCTAGACGTGTATAAATGCTTTTTATACATTTACCTATTTAAGAGTATTTTAATCACTTAATGGACGAATCGCCTTCCTCCATTTTCCTTCTAAATTACTTCAATTATGAATCCATGGGACCTTAACTTACTATGTATGACTCTTCGGAATATTAAGACGTGTTTGTGATACTTGTACACATATAATTTGCTACGCAATTATTCATCCTATCTTATGAATACCTGGATCCTATGAGTACAGTAGTGATAGTACAATGTTTACTTTTAATATTGTGTTGCTAGATTATTTGTATTCTTTTATAGAAAAACCCTTTCACAATATGTATTTAACCAAACATATTATTTATTGAATGATTAGGCAAAAAAACTTAATCATTGTTTATTGTATTGTTTTCATGCAATATTTCTGACGATGTATTTACATCGTTATTTTGGTACATTTTGGCGCGGGCAAAATTTTGTACTACTGAGTTTACGTCGCTGATCAAATCAGTGTCGGATAAATAATGATCTCAGTATTTCTATGTACCCGTATTACGGTGTAATATATATATATACGTTTATAAGTTATTTGTTGTTACCTCATAATATGCATGTTACACGATGTTTGCAATAAAAGTGAAAGTAGTAAGCCGCAAGTGTAGAGACTTTTTGTTACAGTCGGACATTGTCACAGAAAAATATGCTTACTGTATCTTATTACTGGTATTGTTGTTACTAATTACCAGTAATCATTTTGTTGTGACTCATTTTTCAAGGATGTAGATGGGAACGTTTTATGTATATTAATTTCCAATTGTTTTCACCATAGATACTTTTTTGAAATGCGCCTTGCTATGTTAGTATAGTGTCTATGTTTTCGAAGCGCATAATGCCCAAAGATAGCGTCATTTGGACGTTCTATTACCCGATTATATTATAAATAAATTGTTACTTATATATATTTGTGACGTATTTAATCCTGAATGATTTGTATATTTGCACGAGTTTAGGGAGATGCGTGTTTTGTGACTTTTACGCCAATACCTTTATTAGTAGATATACCTAATAGTTTAGTGTTTATCGAATTTACTCGTACCTACTACTCGCTGACAAGCGAACAATGAAAGACAAAGCTGTGAGAATTTTTGTCGTAATGTAAAAATGTAAGTTTATTTATGTCATAGTTAAAACGATATGCATCGTTATACCTTATACTGTTTTGTGATTTTCTTCGTTTGTGGTTGTATATAATCGTATTTAATATTTAAATAATATGATCTAGAATATGAACTCAATTTATCGAGAGATACACATTACTGCAAATATTTGACTTCTTCCAAGTCTATAACAACTCTTCGTTTAAAAATCTCAACTTAACATTAATAACTTCATAGGTATAGATAGTTTAGGATAAATAATAAGGATATATATGTGTATATATACATATATGAATGTATATATAGGTATATATATCTCCAAGCTTATATCATCTTCATATAAACATATATTCATTTAAATATAAAAAATAAAGTGAGATTATGTAATATTAGAGGCGATTCGCCGACACTAGTTTGATCTTTAAATTGTTAGTGAAATTGTAAACGAGGCCTTTTTTCAAGTAGTGTATCGTGTAAATCTTAACACGATGACTAGGTATGTTTATCTATATCTCGTGACCAACTTCTGTCTAAGAATGGAAATATCACTAGGTTAACACTTTTTACACAGGAGTTAGTTTTGGATCGAATTTTTACTAGATTTAGAAGGAAAGGACATTGATGTTTAATAAAAACAAGGTACCCGAGTCTAGAAAACAAAAAAGAACAAAATTTCGAAAGTTACCGAACCAAAGGAGGTAGGTGTATAAGAAATAAGCGTTGGCTTGTACTGTATTTAAAATAATATAAAACTGAACTTTTGACGTCATTTCATTGGGTTTTCTGTAGCTTTAACACGCAATTGTCTTGAACAAAAATTATTAGGTGTAATAATCTTAGTCAGTAATTATAAATTTTTCAGCCCCTGAAGCGTAGTTAAAATATTGTCGACTATCTTTTGCTCCATAATTTCTAAGGTTTCATAGGTCGCTTCTACAGTGGCTAGAGCACTTAGGAGATAGTTTTAAGAAACTAAAGGAGAAAATGCAATAAATGCGGAATAGAACGAAATTGTCTTTTTACACTTAAATCATTGTTTCAGTTTCATGAATGACATGGACACGAATGAAGTAGCATTCATGTCCACTTCATTCATGAAAAATAAAAAATCATGAGTTAATTTTTCATGAATGAAGTGGATATGGATTTTATAATTTCCTTATCATAATGCCCATATATTACTTATTATTTCATAAAATAAACCTAATCAATATTTCTTAACATGCTATAAATGAAAATTGTTTCCGACTTCTTCCGACTATTTTCATTGAATTCATCTTTTCTCGTAGAAAGTAGTATGTCGAGGGAGTGTATGTCAATATCCGCTTAGCCAAATCACGATATGCTGGCATTTCGTAGTTAGGGCAGTTATATCATGATGTATATAACAGAAAGTAAAGAACATTCACTCAGCCACATTGACATGTACCAGGGCGTATCGCAATGAAGTTAATTTGTAACACATTGCATTTGCATTCTATTAACTGTGTGTGAGAAAAATGGCCGTGTTACAATGTAATAATTTCAGAACACGGACATCGGCTATTCCGCAGTATTACGTTAAGTTTAACATTTACATCTTGAATGTACGCAAAAACTTAAATAAAAGTTTATT